GTTAGTAATGTTTTACTACTAACTTGTTTTTGGAATAGAAATATTCAAACATAACTCATTTCACTTCAAAATCCATTTTAATCAAAATCAATTTTGCAAACTTTTATCCAAATATACACAATGTAAAATCTATATTCAAGATTAATTTAAATAAATATTTCAATCATATTTTATCAAAATATAAAACAAAAAGACAATAATAAAAAAGAAATCTAAAAATGAATAAACAAGAACAAACTAACCAATAAACATTTATAGTATCTTTACTAATGTTAAACGTCCAACCCATTTGGGAGTAGATAGAGGTAGAATGAGGAGAGAGAAAGTAATAAATATTATATATAACTATGATTAAAAAAAAAATAGAAAGAGATAGAAAGAAAAATGGGTTGCAATTGTTTGGAATGTATGTTTATCATTACTTTTGCTTATTTAAGAGGTGCCACCCAATTCAGAATGGCGACGTGGCAACCATAACAAAAGGTAGAAGTCAGTGACTCATTTAGAATGTTAATGCAACATAGACAAGAAAGCCATTAAAAGTAGAGAATTTTGGAAGAAGGTAGGGAATAGCAATTAGCAACCACTTCGGAAAAAACAAACCAACCAATAACATGCATTCTTGTTTTGTTCCACCACTTTCTTTATGCTAACAGTCTTTAAGAATTCCAAGCTCTTCACTCCATGCAATCAAAATTGTAGTCTTGGTTTATAGTGCTCAATGGATTTCCTTTATGCTTTTCTTACCTCTTGTTTGTATTTCCTAGATCCAACAACACTTCCACAAATTACAGAAATGTTCAGCATCTCTAAAGCACAATCACGAATAATTTCTGCTAATTTTTATTTCACTTTTGAATTTTTATATTTATCTAATAAAAGAATAACAGGTATTTTTATTTTCATAATGAATTCTATTGAATTTTGGACATAAATCTATTGTATCTCACTTAATAAATGAAAAAGGTTAAATTTGAATTAAGAGAGACTCATTATTGAAAGAGAATAAAAATAAACATAAAAAGAAGAAAAGAGAATAAATTATTGTACATTTTTGTATTTTTACTAAATGTTTTTCATATTATAACTAAAGATTTGTTTATCGTTGGATCATGCTTAATTTTACACAAATTTATGTACATGAATTTTTGTTTTTAACTATTTGACAGTCGCACACACTCCCAAAGTAAATAAATAAGGATATATTTACCCTTAATTTAAAAAACATTCACCAAAAATTTAAGAATAAATGCATCGTTATTTATGTACTTTAAAAGATCACTATTGAGACTCAATCCCTCAATTCAAAGTTTTAAAAGAACAATTTTTTTAGCTTCTAAATCTAGTCTTTACATTTCACTTTATTTTTCTCGCTTATCCATGACGACCACTCTTAACTCTCTTCTATAATGTGTTCCCTATCTCTCACCCTTTTTTTTTTTTTCTTTTTGTAATTTATAAATGTATGTGGTTCCAGTAAATAAGGTGCTTCATGTGTTTAATCATCATATAATTACCATGAAAGAGGAAAGAAAATTAGGGACGTGAACGACTTGGATATTCTTTCTGACCACTTTAGAGCTGTATTAAAGTAAAAGAAATATCTGACCGTTTTCTCAAGGAAAAAAAAAGTAAAAGAAATAAATGAACTGTTGCTTTCAACAACAATCCATACCCAGTGAGTACAGCTTTTAAGATTCATCAATGGTAACATAGTTACTGAACCAAATATTCTACCTTATCACATAGAATCTGAAAGCTTGAAACGGCATGTGCTAATTCCTTCATGTTTCACATGAAAATCAATATTTGTATAGTTATCTTATCACCCTAATGTTGAGTAAAATGTGTCATGACTAATATCTTTATTGTGTATTATTTTTTCTACCACGTGTATTTCTCAATTTACAACTCGAGTTATTCATTAAATAAATTGTCATCACAACATGTGAGTATAGACTGTCTAACTAATTAATATGACACTTCATGGAATTATCTTTATGATGTATATGATAAAACTAACTTGTGAGTACAGAATGTGTAACTAATTAATATGACAATTCAAGGAATTATCTTTATGATGTATATGATAAAACTAACTTATAAATTAGCTAAACAATTTAAACTAAAAATTGAAAAACTGATAACTTATATATAAACTAACTAATTCAGCTAAAAGTGTTTAATTGATAAGTTAATTAGCTAATAAATATAAAATGAGAAAAATATATATTTAGTTATTCATGATAAAAAAAAATATTAAATAAATTAATAAGAATAAAAATGAAAAAAAAATGACTTAAATCTAATTTATAAAAATAAGCTAAAAACTATTAAAATAAATTTACATAACAAGCAAATTTAATTTTAATCAAATTAGCTTATAAATTTTCGCATAACAAACAAGTTTAATCTTCATCAAATTGACTTATAAAATTTCTCCATGTCAAATACACTTATTAAAAATCAAATCACCCCAAAACTAATTTTAAAAATTAAAATAAAAAAAATCCTCCAAGCTACCCACTCTAAATGAATAAATAAAATTTTAAAATATAAGGATGACGAAGATCACTTTTTTGTCGATAAAATCTCATTAATTCGGATGTGCTTGGACTTTATCTCACCCTCTCCACACACCAGTTTTACCAACCAAACTGAAAAGGGGGGCACAGCAAGCTCAAATTGGTAAAAAGAAAATTCAGAGTAACGGTATATTCAATTAATATTGCAACGGTTCGTTGTTTTCATTTCACCAGATACAACCACTGATCCTCAAAACCAAAATCGGAAAAGATTTGCAAAAATTCTCCATATTTACTTATACCTGACTATCATAATCTTTTATGGAAGAGCAAAAGCAGAAAAAAAAATTTAATTAATTAACTTCAAAGTAATGAATAGAGGACTTTGAGGGCGAATGTTGATAAATTTTCAGCAAGTTCTTGCAAAAGAAAATGTAAAAATTCTAACATGAAGCATTATGAAAAGTGGTACATCAATGAAACATTATTTTTCACTGTTAGATTTAATAATAAAATAATCAATAGTTCATATTTGTTACTTGTAACTTGTTTATGAAATTTTTTGTATTTTGCATAGTAGTCCCTATTTAGGGTTACTATATTGGCCGCCGGCAGGTGGTGAGGACGAGGAAGACAAGGGCGAGGAGGGTCGAATTTGGAGGTGGCGAGGTTTAGGGTTTAGGAGAGGCCTTGAGAGAGTTGAACGTCGCGAACGGCGGAAAAGAGGAGGTAGCAGCAGAGGAGGGACATGAGGCCGGTGGCGCCAAGGAGGAAGAGCTTGCGCCTCCTTTGGCACCGCGCGAAGAAAAGAGGCCGCGCCTCTGCTACCACCACGCGAACGAAGTCACGCTTTCACTGCCATCACTTGAAAGAGCTCGTGGCCTCCACTACCACCACGCAAACGAAGTCGCGCTTCCACTACCACCGCTCGAAAGAGTTGGCACCTCCGTGCTGCCACGTTGCGAAAGAGGTTGCGCCTTCACTGCCACCGCGCAAACGAAGTCGCTTCCGCTGCCATTGCTTGAAGGAGGCCGTGCCTCTACTGCTACCGCACGAAAGAGGTCACGCTTTCGTTGCCACCATCGTGAAAGGAGACGACACCTCCGCTGCCACTATGCCTCTATCGCCACCGCGCCTCCACAGTGCCTCCGCATTTAATATAAAAACTATTTTACAATTTTAAACAAGTTGAAAAACCTGCTATTGCAGGTCATTTTATGCCTCATGGATAAGGCATTGGTTGAACTGCTTCATGTTAGAAGCGTTCAAGAAAATGAGGTAAAATGAATCAAATTTCTCATGTAAGTTAAAATAACAGTTTCTGTGAAGTTTAAATAAGAACTTCAGAAAGAGTTGAGATAGATAAATTAATTTTAATGTGTGGTTTCTATTGAAAAACAGTTTTATTCATTTTTTTCCTTATAAATATTTCTTAAAAAGTTTATCCAAGATGGGCTTTGTCTTATCCGGAAGTTGATGACTAGCTAGCAGATAGAGTTCAAATGAAGTCTGCGGACTCATCAAAGAAACAAATAGTTTTAATAAAGGCAATGCCAGATGTGATAAATCCCACGTAAAATGGTACCGTGCCAAAACTGCATAAATGCAGAGAATCCTTTACACTTAAAATACTAACAACAAACAAAAATCTTAAACTACACTTTTACTCCTATAATATCAAATTCGCAATGTAATCTCTCTATTTTCAACTTCACAATTTTAATCTCCTAATTTTATAAAATTCACAATTTTTATTCTTTTATTAATGTTTATATGTTGGTCATTAAAATTTTAACATAATTCATGATATTAAGTAAATTACATAATGATTAATATCTAATAACATTTAGACTAAATTTTATTTAGTTCTTAGTTTTATCTCAAAAAGAACAAAATGTAATGAAAATTAGAACTAAAAATACAATTTAACCTAAATATTAATTATTAATTTGTTATGTCATCAACCTCACGTGAAGTTGTAACAAATATTACAATCTTCACAATTTTATAAAATTGAAAACTAAAATTGTGAAATTAAAAATTGAGATCAAAATTATAAGTTTAATATTATATGGGAATAAAAGTGCAATTTAGTGAATGAAATGTAAACAAAATAAGAAACTGGCAAAGTGAGACATTTGGAATTACAAAAGTACCATCATCTACCATGCTGCATGCCTCATTGATCCATCAAGCATGTCATTCTGAGCATTTGTGCGCATAGCTCAGCAGCACATCCAAATCATTTCTTCAAGGATAGAAATCATTGATTAATTTCCCTTACCATCAGGATGTTCATAGTTGATAACAACAAATGGCATAGAAATCTTACATTTAAATAGCAGTTTATTGTAAATTAGGCAGGTTCACATAAAATATACTTCACTGAATGCGAGAACATAATAGTAAAAGGGAAAACTAAGTTTTGAAACATGTTAGGTGAATTTATTCTATTTCCAAAGTATATCAAGGATATCATATAAAATGTTAAATTTGTATACAAATATTTTCATAGGTGAGGTACACTTTCGGTTAACATCAATTTCCCAAATATCAGCTGCATAGTATTTGGGCTGATGAGACAATGTATGTGATATAGCTATTATCAGGGGAGAGAGAGAGAGAGAGAGAGGGAGGGTATAAATATAACCAGAGAAAGATACAAACTGAGAACCAGAAGCAGAGCTATCAGATCTTATTCTGCTGCACCACTGATCAGTGATCACCCAAATACAATTTCTAAGTTCTTTGCATTAGGAATGGCATTGCACAATACTTTTGGAAATTAATCAGTGAAAAGCAGATCCTGGTGATATTGCAAACTGCTATACTTGCTGTTCCTCTGCTTGTAGCATAAATGCAAGTTCTTCAGCTGTTTGCTGATCCAAAACAAATATATGATCCTGTTAGCTCATAAAAGAAAAATATAAACCAGAAAGTAAAGATGTATTAAAATAAGCACATCTTGAGAAGAGAATCCAGCCAAAAGCATTTCCCAAGTCCCATAATTAAAACTTAGTCTGCAATCACTATCAACTTTTCAGGTTTCTTGTAGACTACAGACAGGCAAAATAGTTCAGCATTTACAGTGTTTTCCACCAGTGATAAGAGAACCATGCCATGTGCACCATATGTTGTTCGCATTCCTATTAGTACCCCTCACTAAAATCTTATCATCTTAAATGACCTACCAAATGGCATCGTATGATTAATCAAAATATGAAAAAAGAAAAAAAGGAAAGGAAAATGTTCAATATAATACAAATATTCCAAAATTAGAATAAGCACAGGGTAGTAACTTATCTTTGACTTTGATCCTGTATTATGCGAATTATCCGGGCCATAAGGTAGCAAGGAAGGATAACAGCAGCCGCATGAAAAAAGAAAAACTGAGAAACATTAAGAATTATGTAATCAATCAGTCTATAAAATGCAGCACAATTAATCACTTTGATTACAACTTACATAAATATATGTTAAAACTTTCTCCATATCAGCATTGAAGAGGGGAGCAGCATGCCTTAGAAGTAAAAGAGCCATTAACTGCAAATATAGGGAAAAAACCAAACATGAA